CGTCAGAGCCGGCGACCGTGCGTGGAGACGGCGGGACCGGCCCGGCGCGGGGTGTCCCGGAAGCCTCGCGGGCTGGGGCGGAGGGCGGAGGAGCTGGGGTGTCGGAGGACCTGGTCCCGGGGTCGCAGGAGGATGGGGTGCCAGGGGGCCGGGGGCCCATGAAGGATCTGGGCTCAGGTGTGTGTGCGCGCGCGCGTGCGCGCGCACGCGAGTGTCTCGAGATGGGAGGGGAGGTACGGGCATGGCAGGGCGCTGGGGGTTGGGGTGGGGGGGGGACTGGAGTCCGGGTGTCCAGGATCCAGGGGTCCGTTGGGGGGGGTCGCTGGGGATGGGGAGGGGTAGGTTCGGGCACCCGAGGGAGTGGGGGTACAGCTGACAGGGCGGGGGGAGCTGGGGAGGGGACGGAGGCCAGGGTCCAGGGCTCTGGGGCTGGGGAGCCAGGAGACCAGGGCGTGGGCAGCGGGGTGTAGGGTCTGGGGGTCTGGAGCCGGGGTCCAGGAGGGCCGGAGGTCTGGCGTGTGGGAGGCAGGGGTGCTCGGGGACCTGGGTGCTGGGGTACTGCAGTTCCGTAGGCAGGGGTGCCTGGGGGACAGGGGTTCCATGGGGGATCTGGGCACAGGGGCAAGAGTGTCCGGGATGGGGGGTTGCTGAGGGGGCTGGGGAGGGTGTTACTGGGGGCCGAGGGTCCAGGGTCCAGGGAGCCAGAGCTGGGGGGGCGGGAGTGCAGTTCCGGGAAGCCGGGAGATAGGTTTGAGCACCAGGGGGAGCAGGGGGGCAGTGTATGAAGGGGGCCAGGGGCCTGGAGTAGGTGGGGCAGGGGAGGAGACTGGGGTCTGGGGTCCAGGGAGCCAGGAGATGGGGAAGGGGGAGCCGGGGCCGAGGCTGCGGCTCAGGGGTCTGGGGGGCTGGAGCGGGGATCTGGGTCCAGAATCCTGGAGGGCCGAGGGTCCGGGGTCAGAGAGTGGGGGGTGGGGCAGGGCGTAGGGGTGTAGTTTGTTTAATGGGGCCACAATACACAAGTAAATTACATAATATGTTAGAAGTTGATAAATGCCATAGAAAAGAAAACAGTAGAGGAAGGTAAAGGGGTGGGGAATGTGGGGTGGGGAAGAAAGCTGCAATTTTAAATGTGTTGTCAAGGGTCATCTCCACAAGAAGTCTCATTTGAGCAAAGACTTGAAGGAGATGAGCATTAGCTTTGGGAATATGGTGGTGGTGGTGGGGTGGCTTCCAGGCAGAGGGAGCAGCCAGGGAAAAGGCCCCAGGGCACGCGAGCTGGAGCAGCCAATGAGATCGGAGAGGTGAGTGGTGGTGGGGAGGGGCGGGCAGAGATGATGTTGGTTCAAAGGCCATTGTAAGGATCCCGACTCTGAGTGAAATGGGGCAGCAGCCAATGCAGACTTGTGAGCCAAGCCACAGCACAGTCTGACCTCTATTTCTAAAGGATCATGTTGAGGGCTGTGGTGCGAACAGACCATCAGGGCAAGGTTAGAAGTGGGGCACCCATTAGGAGGCTACAGAGATGGGGGCTGGAGGTGATGGTAGTTGCAGAGTGTCGACAGTGGAGGCAGGAAAAAGTGTTTCCTAATGGACTGGATGTAGGGTTTGAGGGAGAGAGGAGTCAGGAAGAACCTGAGGTTTTGGCCTGCACAACCGGAAGGACAGAGTTGCCATCAACTGAGCTGGGAAAAGCTGGGGCAGAGAGGATACCATTTGTTACATTTAAGATGTTTATAAAACATGAGGTGACGATGCTGAGTAAGAATGGATATACGAGTCTGGAGTTTGGGAGAAAAGTCCAGATTGAATTTGGGAGTCTGTGTCTACATAAGGCATTTTTTTAAATCATAAGAGTGGACGAAATTATTGAGACAAGGCTCCCCAAAATTTAGAGGTTGGGGAGCCAGAGAGGGAGAGATCAGTAAGGAAATTGAAAACCAGGAAGAGTATGG